CTGCCTGCTGCTGCTGGAATTGAGGTTGATGAGACTGAAAAACACGAAATTTGTGGGCCATAAAACTAAAACAAAGAGATAAAAAGGTCCTTAGAGCTGAGGGGAACTGAGGAGTTGGGGTGATGATGCAGGTTTATCTTCAAGGAATACATCTGATTCAAAAAACCTTTATATTTCAGAACGAAAAGCCAAAGAGGAACTTTCTCTACACACACAACATCTCAAAATGTATTCAGTGTGTCAAATAGGTCTAACTTTGTCTGTTTCCACCAGATAGAGAAACAATCAGAGCTTTATAGACTGGATTAAGAATGGAGATGTAACCTTTCTACATGCATCTACATTCATTAAAAAAGAGAAAAGAAATATGAAAGAAAAATGGTAGAGGTGACGCAGGTGTGAAGCCTGTTGTAAGTTCACGTACAGAAATAACAACTCTCAAAACATCGCCTTAAAAAATTATTTTTTTTTACTAATAGCTCCAATATCAGCCTCTTTACCAGCCAATTTAATTTAAAAGAACATTTCTTTAATAAATATTATTAGGCAAGACAATTGCAAGAAAACTGGTGAACACACAGTAAGTAGTATAAACAGTAAAACAGAGGCAAAAGATTACTACTGCCAACCAGTACTACTACGATTAGTACCTCCTGGTAAACTGCAGGCAAAAACTGTAGTGCAGAAGGAAGAAAAAAAGAGGAAAACACACAACAAGGTGAAAGCGAGCTTGGCACAGAGAAGAAAGAGAGAGAATAAGAGAGAAAGAGAAGGAGGGGAAAGGTCAGTGTTGCTGGTCCTGCTTTCTTCCCTCTGATCTCCTCAACTCCTCTAATCACAATGACAGAAGGAGGGCAAGAGAGGGAGAAAGTGAGCAGGGAAACAGGGAAATTTGGGCTAATGGAGGAAGCAAGAAAGAGGGAAAAAAGAGAGCAATAGAAAGGGTGTAAAAGAGATGGAGCGAGGCCAAAAAGAGAGAGCAGCTCAAATGAGACTTTTGGCAAAGAGGCTAAAGAAGAAAAAGCTAAAAATAGAAGAAAAAAAGTGATTTGGAGCATTAACGGCGGTCCAAAAAAGAACGACAAAGGAAAATAAGTGAACAGGACGGTAACTTGATGCAGTTTAAGGGAATTAAAGAAAAATATGGTTTAGAATTAGGAGAAAACAGCACAGAATGACAAAATGATGAAAAAAGATTTTTTTTGTATTATATGTCTAGTATATCATGTTACCCTTATTATTTTGGTCTATTATCCTCCTTTTGTTGAGGCATGAATACTTTCTCAGGTATTATCCAATCAGAGAGGGCTGCCTCAGATTGTTATTGGCCCTGAGATTCATTGTTCTCAGATATAATCCAGCCTCTACCTGAGCAGGGCAGAGCTGTGTGCTGATCCTCGTTCAATTCGCTCTGTCCACACCCATGAGTTAATGATATTGGCAAACAGACACTATAAGCCATCGCCCAAGGGAGAACATTCAACCTCGAAGCGGAGGATGTGTGATGTGGTGTTAAAGAGGAAGATGAAGACATGGACACAAAAAGACACAATAGAGGTAAATAAAAGCACATGGAGCTGGGACACGTGAGTGCATTTGGGCGTGTAGGCACAGGTAATGCTGCATGAGTACACACAATGAACTTTTATACTTATGAGGACCGTCTTTGGACAGTACGTCCCCTAGTGTCCAAACCTAAACTTAATCCTAAAATGAACACTAAAACCCTCAAACAGAACTTTAAAAAAAGTTAGAAAATGTCCTCACTTCCCAACATTGTCCTCACTTGTAAGGTCTAACAATTGTCCTCACAAAGATATAAGTACAAGGACTCACACACAGGGCTACATTCTCACATATAATAGAGAACAAAGACAGATGAGGACAATGAGCTGAAACCCTGGTATAACAATACGAGAGCTACTTGATCATCTCATCATCTTACACCCACTGAAACACAACCTGTGTGTGTCTGAGTGTGTGTGTGTGTATGTGTGTGTGTGTGTGTCTGTGTGACAATGTGTGAAAATGACTTCAAAAAAGCAAAAATATGCATTAAAAAGCTCATTCTTGGCCTTGGAAACAGCATGTGACAAAACACGCGTTCCATCATATTATACAGTCATCTTTAGCAGTTGTAACAAAACAGTAGGCGAGCTCTGCTGAGCAAGACTGTGTAATAAAAGCTCCAAACAGCTGCAACACTTCCAAATTAAACAGTATACTTTGTTTATCCATACCTTATTCAATGACACAGGGAAGTGTTTCTTGATAATTGTTCTATGCCTTCTGAAACTGCTACAAAACACTGATGGTTATATTTGGCACAAAGACGGCTTGGTTAGATTTCAGAGAAAATCATGGTTTGGGTTTAGGGTCCAGTGGGTAACATTTAGGAGGATCTATTGGCAGAAATTGAATATAATATTCACAGGTATGTTTCCATCATATCACCTGTCCTCTTCTACAGACTCAAGCTGAACCACCATAATTCTACTGTAGTCCAGAACTGACTTGTTTTGTTTTGTGGCCACCGTAGTTTCTCCTATTGGAAACTATTTCCGGTGTTAAGGTCCGACTTTTTGTTCACCCGTACATCCACGCTGACCTGCTCTCTACGCAAACACCACCGCAACACCACCTGACTACCTTCTTTGCTCTTGCCACTATTAGTACAGTCGCTAGAGAGCTTCGTCACTTGAGCGTAAACGTGTAATTTTGGGGCACTTGCTGAAACGACTGCCTCCAATCATTTCAGCTCTGTAACGTCCTACGAACTAGTGCGTTATTACGCAAATGAGAAAACGTGTTTTGTAATCTGTGTGAACTGACCCTTTATGCTAACGTAAAGGCCAGGGAGATTATGGTAAAGGAATGTAAAGCTGCTGCAGGATTAGACATGTACAAGAAAAAGTAACGGCACTTGAGACAAAAGTAAAACGCTCACAATTTGCATACATTAACTGACAAAACATGATGGAACAGGCACATTCCCGATTGTCTGCATGAAGTCAACAGTGTGTTCATTCTTTCTCCCATTCTGTCATCCCAGCATTACCCAGCTATGCGTCTTTAAGCTTTGG